ACACTCTTGCTGAACACTGTTGTGGGACGCTCTTGCTGAACACTGTTGTGGGACACTCTTGCTGAACAGCGGGACACTCTTGTCGGACACTCATTCGGGACACTCGATCGGTCGATGTGACTGGCCATATGGCCAATGGATCTTTGGCACCAGTCAGGTACCAGTCCACATGGTCGAAGTTCCGGTTCGGAAGGAAAGGGGAGTGCAGGGGATGGAGTCCAGGACTGGTCAAAACCACAACCAAAGTTGGGAAATCCGTATTTGGGATTTACAAGGTTTTGTTTTAGATATATAACACATATATATATATATATATAGTATATATATATGTATATATCGGAGCCTTGGGAGGAAATTTCCTGTGGCACTACCCCATGAGCTACTCCCGTGGCTTCGTCGAAACAAAGTGCTACCAGAATTCCCGGTGGACTATGTTCGTGGCTATTGGGAGCATCACAAATCTCATGGCAGTAGCTGGGCGTCTGTCGCTGATGGCATTCAGCACAAATGCCTTCCCATGTACCTTTGGGCAGACGATGCTGAGTACAATGAATCCCACGAAAAATTAGTGGTTGCTGTCATGGGATGTGTTTTGGATGAGCGTACATTCAGTATGGAGACTGTCTTCCCACTCTGGACTATCAGAGAAGCTCCTTGATTTGAGCTCATTTGTAGGCTTTGCACAGATGTGCCCTTTTTTCGAAACCGTGACAAGTTGGGTGGGGGACCATATCCATCTCCAGGCAGTCTGACCATAATATTCCAGGGTTGCATGAGTGATGAATCAACCCCTACGGTGCAATGACTGCAGGTTCTGTCCTTGGGATTCCCTACTCTTTACGCTTTGCTCCAGCCAGTTCTTTGCCCAACACAGCAAGTTTTATATTGCCAGGATACCTTTCTGCCGCAGGGCCGCTAATCCTCAGCTGAGGTAGTAGCATCCATGGACCATCTTCTCAGGGGCGTGCGGATTCATCAACATGTGGATATGGTGCTGCACGCTGCAATCACCCAAATCAGGGGCGATTGGAAGTTTCAAAGAGACACTTGCGCTACTAATTGAACCGTGATTTGGGGAGGCTAGGCTAGTTCCACATCCTCGGGTACATGATTAGTGTTTGATAGCAAATCCAAACCCAGTGCATCACATCCCATGTGAATGTCGACTTGTTTGAATGCTGAGGAGTGGCTCAACCTTTCTGTTGGCTACAACTGCAACCAGGTTTGCCACCAGTGTCGCATGAAGAAAGTGGATTGCATGACAGCCCCGTCGTCACTTTCCGGTTCTTTTAGACATACCTCTCAAACTTTCATGAGCGAGTGCACCAAGCATGGACCCAAGAGTATCTTGCAAGCACAAAGAGTTGGATAGCTTGCTGGCTGTTGCCACATGTGAACAGGTGTTGCATTAACTTTTGTACGCAACCCTGCAATGTTATATGTATATTGCATATGCTTGTACATGTACTTGTGGCCATGACCTCCTAAGGTCCACTGACCCAGCTTCCACACTTCTGCCCGACCATGGTGAAGTGGTGCTCGATGCACTGCTTGAACTTGGGCGTAGCTTTATGGGTATGTGGTGGAATCCTTCAAACAATTGTGGAAGATACATCTCTTTGGGGGACATCGTCAGATGTGGATGACAGGTATGCCATTGGCTACGAACACTTTCGAGCATGGACACGCCTCAACAAAATCCAGCAATTTAACTATGATGTTTTATATTTTCTTTTACCTGTTGTGCACCTCAAAGAGAAGCTAGAGGTCTAGATATATATATATATATATATGGACCCCCAAGCCATTTGGCCTTAAGCCGAGGCATTCCCAGCCCAGATTCTGCAAGAAGCGAAACCGATCTTGCCAGCACCCATTTGCAGAGCTCCAGGCAAAAGCGCACAACGCCATTTGCCCAAACGTAGGGGGCCGTGGTTTTCAAGGAGTTTGTAAGTTGGTGGCTACTATGTACACTGAGACCTCCTAACCAAAGTTTTGTGGACCCAATTGATTATAACCGCAATGTGCCTCTTGGTCCCTGCGACTACACTATCCCAGGCTCGGGTTGTTACAGCCTGGCTTTGTCAAGAACTTGTTGCTGCAGTGACAGACTACAGAGATGATGAAGACTTCTGCCTGATGACAACGTGTGTGCCACTTGACTTTCAATCAACTGGCATGACAGGCTAGGTGTAGCACCTTGTTGCCCCAGTCCCTGCTCAGAAAGGATTCCCAATAGAGGTTCACTCCAAAGACCCTGCTCTGGAAGCTTCATGTATAGTGAGCTTGAGAATGAGCGAGGTTTTTCTTGGCAAAGTGGTTTGACCTTCACGAGCGGTGCGGACGATTCCCATCCGGGCAGGCTCTGGCTGAGTTTCGCGAGGCGTGTGAAACCAATAAAGCACATTATTAGATATGGGGCACAGGTCAACCAATCAGATAGGGTAACTGGGGGGGACCCTCTAAGAGAACCGTTTGGTGCTGGGTTGACCTGAGCCTCTGTAAGTTGTTCGTTGTGTTATGTTGTTTTTGTGTATGTGAGGTGGGTTTGCACATGTGTTCACTATATACTATGTAAGTTATGCTGCCAGCCAAGGATCGGTCCATGGCAGCCTATATTCAATTGGCCCACCGTGCTGTTGCTGCCAGAAAACTGCGGTGGCCAGCAAGGCCCAAGTTCCATGTACCCCATCTGCACTGGTCTTTTGCTATATCATTTGATTTGCCCATTTTTGACTTTTGACACTGAAAACAAATGTGGGGTCTGACCTGTAAGCTGATCATGTGCAGGGATGGCAAGAGATCCTCTATGCTGAGGAGATCGATGGTAACTTCGAGTAAATATCGTACATATGTTTCTATTTTCTGTGCGGTACCTGACTGGTAGTCTTTTAATGGTGGTGTGGGACCAGCACTACCCATGAACAGGTGAGAACTCCCGGTTCTATCACGCCTTTCGAACTGAAGACTATGTGGGCCGTCTTGCCTCCCTAGCTGCCCAATGTAGCAAAAATGCCTTGGAAGGGGCTGTTCTCGCTCGCTTTTACATGGGGCCTCTTGTCTTGGAGTTTTTTGTTGAATATGCTTTGCCCATTAATCTAGGTGCGGGTTATTCCATGCAATGTTGCTTCTGACCCGCACGATTTGGATCTAAGGCTTCACCAGCATTGTGTCCATCTGGGTGGCCGGAGCAATTAGATGAGTTGCACGGGTTGGTGAGTGCATGCAATGGCATGTGTTGTTGGACTCATGCCCTGGCAAAAACCTTACTTGCGCGGCTTGCACGGCCTTTTTCATGTGCCCCCTCCAGACTCCCAAAACCAGGTGTGTCCCAAGTACTTCCTGAGCATGGTCTTTGGGGCTAACACCTTTTGAGGAAGGACTTGGGAAGGAAATCCTTTCTGAGCAGGTCCTTTGGAGGACTAGGGATAGCGTTCTTGCTCCAGGAGCCCCTAGTAGCTCTGCCAGGAATTGGAGTATGACGGGGATTCTCTGTCCATGATCCACGTTGGTGCACCAGCATCCTGAGGTCCTGGAACCAGAGTCCACTCATGAAAACCGGGATTTGCTCGGTTTTAGGGTGCGCCTATACGCAGACTTGCATTCACATGCTCAGGGCAACACCACCGCTGAACTGCTACCAGGGTGTCATAGAAATATGAAAGGATATAGCAAGAATCACCAAAACAACATGTTAACAAATCGGTCTATGGAGGACCCCTGAGCATATGCAGGCCCATCAATCTGGATCCGGCTGCTCGCAAACATACAAGAATCACCCAATTGACTTCTGAATGTGCTGACACATTGATTCGTTGCAGGGAAAAACACACACCCCATGGTGACTCTATAGCTTAGAACCAAGCGCCTTCCCCCCAAGCGCTTGGGGAACTCCCGATTCTTCAAGCTCCGCGATCCTGAGGTGTACCCACACTCTCAGCCGTCACCGTCGCACCGCTCATGGACCCCTCGCAGCAACATGTCCAAGGCTCGAGTCGTCATCGCCAATAAAGAACTGTGTTGCAAAGCTTCCTCACGAACCAAATCCGTGTCTGTTTGTTCACCCTGTCGGGAAAAAACATGCAAACTTGTGACCTGGGGGTGTTGTATAATATGTTGTTTATATTATTTATTATAGCCTGAGCGACCCATGTTTTGGATCCTAAACATGGTCTTTTCCCGTTTCCCATGAAAACAACGGTCAAATGGGTTCTAGGTGTGTACGTATGTATGTATACACGTATATGCATAGCAATATTGTATAGCAAGTATATGGCAAATATCATAGAGATCGGCAGTTGGGCCCCTCACTGCCCACCTTTGGCGGCCCACCCCCAAAACAGCCAGGCCGGTCTATATACAATAAATATTGATCTTGAAAGGATTCATGTCATTCTTGAATACCTTCAGCACGGCCAATTCTGGATGCATGGAACCAAGATGGGAGCAATTCTTTGGTTTTGTGCGGATTTCGGCCTTTTGAAGCCACTTTCGCTGCAACTTCCAGGGCCCTTAGGGCCCGAAAGGACTCACTCGAAAGGCACCTACCCTGGTGGAAACAGAACGATGCCTTCGGATGCCTTCGGATCAAAACGGAACGATGCCTGGTGCCCAGCGATTCAACGTGCCGGCTTGTTCGAAGACCATGGTAAAAATATCCAGGTCCCTCTACATGTAGGGCTCCAGTCGTACCTGGCACGAAGGTATGACTGGAACCCTCCTGGCACCGCAGCTTCGAAGGAGCCCCAATTCGGCACCCAGGGAGGCGGGGACATTGCATCGCCGCCACCGAGAAGAGTGAGCATGGTTTTTCCGATTTGACGATTGAGAAAAAAAACATCGAAAAAACAAGAAAAACAAGGCAAGCACACACACACACGACATGAAATCACATGTATTTTTCTCAATGCTGCAAATGCGTCTAAGGTTTCAAGGGTCGATGTCATGCACTCTCTTCAGAGTAGCCATTCATAGGTTCGAAGGATCTCAGTAGGTGTTAGATGCATGTAATTTTTGTAAATCTGATTTACCCCACGTCCCGATGCCCCGAAGCAAGTTGCACCGCCGTGCCACATGCCTTGCTGGGTGGTCACCACGCTCGCCGCGCTTGAAACCACCTCCTCGTCCATGGTACCTGAAAGCGTCTGGCTTATCCACAGGTTTAGCCGAGCCAAGTCGAGATGAGCAGGGACATTTGTGGCTGATCAAAGTCTGATAGCCCTTGCAAATAGATAGCAGCTTGAGAAGCTCTGATTGTGATTTGCTGACACATTCAAGTCCAAGACAAATAAGTCCTTTCAAAGCAAACCCATAGCATCTGGTCCAATATAGCACAGCGTTGCTTTTGGGGCCCAATGCTGTGACAGCATTGACATCAAAAGGATGCCGGCCAGCGCTTGCAACGCACAATAGTTTCATGGCAATATGACTTTATGCTGGCCCCGTCGCAAACCAATCTGAATTTGGTTTCGTTGCTGCAGGGTTGGACGATCAGCCCCTTTGGGGAGCCTCATTCGCCAAAACTGGCTACAATAGAGCTGAACACTCCTGCAGATCTTATCAGATCTGTAGGTTGAACAACTTCTGTAACTTGATCCTTGTCCATATTTAGCACCTTTTCGGCACCAACAAGCATGAGCAGGGCCACACCTCGTCCCAGCTTTGAAACACTCCACCCAGCTGCTTTCCCCACCGACCAATGTCTTTCAAACACCCTTGATCAGCAGCGAGTCACATGCCCAGCAGCTTGGATCAAAGCGCTTGTGGCAGTCTAGGAGTTCCTCCAAGGCCTCCGTTCACCGTCAGCTCGTCCGCTCCATTAGGGGGGAACCGCCCTACGACTCCAAGAAGCCGATGCAACACGTTGGGCTGTGTTCTTGCATGATAAGAAACCCTTTCTTTAGTTCATATACTTGGCATGTTTTGTTTGCACATTCCAAATAGGTGACCTGGACACATTAGGTCTATGTTCACTTCCACATTTGTTGAACAAGTAGAGCCCCGCTACAGCCCTGAAAGCCAACTAGAATCTAGAAGCACAAAACCACTGCTAATATAAATAAATAAACATAATATATATATATATGACTATATATATGTACACCATCTATACTGTCTATACATATATTTTCCCCCCAATTGACACCTGATGCCATGATTTTCGGCCCGAGTCGACCGCCACGGCAGCCTCTTTCAGGCTAATTGGCTCTAAGAGCTCCTGCAGCCAACAGCACTGGCATCGCAGAAAAATGTGTTACAAAGATCGGAACAAAACAATGACAGATACCTCTTTAAGGATGTTAAAGGGAACATCTACAGATATCGGAAAAAAACGGTTTCCGGAAAGCTCAGCGTGCGATGTATGTTAACCTTTATTGAGGACTGAACTCAAACAAAAAACGATACTCTCCTCACTATATATAGGCCATGCACTGGGCCACTGGGCCTTCCAGTCCACCCAATCGACAGATCTGAAGTCAGGAAGGATCGATTATATGTTGAAGAGTGGCCAGAATCCATGAGAGGCTAAGTGACCTGAACTAGGACCCGTCACCTGCAGTAGCTATGGGATAGTCGAACTAGGGCTCCTTCAAACCGGTTTCGAATCGGTGACTCGGATGGCGCAACGTCTGTTGGAAGGGGCACGGTACTCCCACAGCTCAGGCTCGATCAACCAATTCACGTCCGATATACAAATACATCAACATGGTTACGTGGAACAAAGGAAAGAACACGGTGTCTGGCTGTGCAAGGTAGTCAAAGCGTGCCATTCGCCTGCATGTGTACTTGGTTGTGTTCATCAAAAGCAAAGCAAGCTCCTCCTCCTCTTCGCGTGGGAGCCAATGCCAGGTGTCGCGGAAGCTCAAGTTCTGGTCACATGGCTGCCATCGCATACCTGCATTTCTCTTTGGAGAACATCTCTCAAGGTTCCCAATATGTATTATATATATATATACACATGTGATGGACGGCCTGCTGTAATCATTTTGGGAAGCGATAGGAATTGATGTAAGAATCTCCCAGACACTCCATGGCTCCCATCTCTATTCAGACATTGGGGTGCTTGAAAAGGGGGTCCATGTATAGGTCAATCTTCTGGTCCCATGGAGTGTTTTGGCATGTTTTGGACTATGGATGGAAAGCTCCGCCCCCCCGCATGGCCGAAGCGGGAGCTCCATGCACTGGTGATCAGCGCTCTTTTCGGCGCCGGGAGCCACGTCGTCTCCGGTGAAGGCATCAAGATCTCACTCACCAAGTGGATGGCATGGTACCCTTGGATGACCGTTCTGCCGCCCTAAACGAACAAAGATTGGTTCACTGATCCATGTGAGTGAGTCAGAGTGTTTACGTCATCCACCAAAAAACAACAAGATCTTCACCCCCCCTCTACGGGACCAAGCGAGCACCCCTACAGAAACATCAAGCAACCAATTGGTTCGGGGCCAAGAAGCATGAGATCTCTCTCTCACACGCGCGCGCGCGAAAACACGGCAAAAACTATTTATCATGAAGAAGCATGAAACATGGACTGATTCTCACATTTCTCACGGGTCCAAAACCTGATATTATATAGTCTTCCTCCATGCCGTTCGGTGTCGCTCCTGCCTCACCCCTCAACAAGGCTTCGCGGCCCAGCTTTGCTGTCCCAAACACAGCCACTGCCACTGCGGTTCCCCGTGCGCGGTGCGAAATGGAGCTGCAAATGGGTGTGCTCACCACTGTCTCAGACTGTCTCCCCCTGGGACAAGAAAAGCAACGTTTGGGTCAGGAACCATTCTTGTGAGGTGATTTGTTCTTTGAATCAGAATCACTGGAGAATACTGAGACAAAACATGACCAAACCACCCCCCGTCCCCCATCATTCATCTTCCAGACATCGAGATTTCGCATCGATGGATATCGGATGTGACCCAGGTCTCGGTCGACGTTTGGTTTGCAATCCAACCCGACCCGTTTGGTGAGAACCCCAGGTCTCCGTTTTTGCAACTCGATGTTTGGGGTGTTGATTCCCTAGAATTCCAACGTAAAGACTATTTTTATTGTACAACTGAAGTAAAAGAACGATCCTTTTCGGGTCTAAAGACCCTTGAAAACGGTCTTGGACTCAGGAGACTCATTCCCGTCATCCGTCTACACCAAGTACGGTCCGTGAACACACCACCATCTACACTCCAACGAAGCAGGTCGGTGTCCTGCGCCAAACCCCATGGAGTCACCACTCGGACGCTCCTTTTCACGGCTCGGACATGGTCCGGTCGGCGCCTCGGAGGGCAGGATGCGGAGGGTGTCAGGTCGGCGTGGGTGGGTTTTCTGGTTTCCAAAGCTGTGTTTTGGCCTTCCAAGACCATTCAACACATGGTTGACCTGGTTTTGTAGTGTAAATTCCTTGGTAAAACATAGTAAAACTGCCGTTTTGTGTGTTTGTTGCTTGGTAAAGACCATGAATTTATTTTGATGGAATCCCAGGGTGTGCAAACTCTGTTTGACATGCTTCCATGGATCAACGTGTTTATACTATTTTGCTTCCTATGCGAATTTGGAGAAAAGAACATGGAGAGGGTCACCAGTCTCGGTGCACATCTTTCACACACAAATACATATCATATGTACACCCTAGAAGTCCAAAAACCATTTGTTTTGTACCACTGAAGTCAAGGCAATTCCTGCACTCGGGTCACCGTTCCAGACTACAGACCGGAAACCAACCAAATGGCGGTCTTGGACCCGTGGGTGACAGCAGAGGGCACAGCAACCCGCGGAATGGTTCTTGCCTCTCTTGCCTCTTCAAAGAAGAATCATTTCACTTTCAAGCCCTACAGCTTGCCTCAGCTAACCATGAATCAGCACTCAGAAGCATTGCATGTTCATGTGACAAACAGTTCAGACTCAGTTGGAATCTTGAATAAATATCTCAAGCGAAGCTCCAGAATGTCTTTAATGAAGCTAGACCTAGAGAACACCTCATTCTCAGAGTACTGTGAGGTAATGGAACCTATCTTGTGTATATTGTTATATACAAGGCACGTGTTGCGGAAGTCTCTCCAACAAAGAAGCTTTGAAGAGTGACGCAAATCAAACAGGTACCACCAGGGGCCACCGGCAGCTTTTGTCCTTCATCCTCAACATGGCCAGACATCCATGAACGAACTCGTGTCATGTCTGAGCCACGTTGTGGCTTTGAAAACGATCAAGAGCATCCAGCAGCATATCAATGTCCTCTTCGGTGTTGTACAAATGCGGCGCCACACGAAGACAGCCAGCGCGGGATGAGACGTGGATGCCTAGGCGTGCCGATGCCTCCAAAGCAGCAAAAAATCAAAGCCCTAGGCGTATCAAATCAAACGAGGCCAGCCATTGGCGGGGATCCAAATCCACCTCGGGGTTTTGTCGCCACAAGCGGTTCGTTTGGTGGTTTGGCACAGGAACCCTAAACCCATGCACCAAACAAAGTGATTTGGCGTGGACATGCCACATCAAGTGCGTCATACATATTTTTGTAGCCAGGTGCCATGTTCCTTCAAGTATCCCGCAGCGGCATCAGCCCAAGCGTCCGAAAACTCCTGCCACACGGGAGACGGACATGTACAGAACGTTATACATAGTCTTACATGTTATATACCTGCAACCGCGTGGTTGCCTCTTTTTGTCGGTAGTTCAACATACCGTTATTTAGGTCTGTGAACCACATAAGCATCCGCAACCGAAATAGACATCCGCTTAAAGAACACGTTCGGGAAAAAAATGCCTGTGGCTCACCAATGCCCTTATAATTTGGGTATAAACGCCCGTGGAATATCAGAAAACATCACGCAAACTCTAATATAAAGCTGTGACTCCAAAAGATGTTTTTCACGCCGCAGATTGAACAAAGAACACTCATCCAGGTATACACTCTCGAAAACTAACATAGACCCTGACAATGACCCCTGGAAGATGGTTTTCCTCTTCTAACCAGTCTACCAGGGTGTAACATGAATTCAGATCGTCAACTTCCCTCGATATCCAAGTCCATCAACTACTTCACAATCCAAAATGGCCGTGCACCCGGTGTCCCTGTGCCATCACACCCCTCGCTGCCAGGCCACGCAGCCGGTCAAAAGGTGAAAAACCCTCCGGCTGCGGTCCTTGCACTGATTTCCTGCATCTCCCTATATATGCCTCTTTGACCAGTGGCACTCCCCCCCTATGGCCATGTGACACACCGTCCTGACACACGCCATGTGACACATTCGCATCATCTCACTTCTGACTTCCAGCGTCTGCAGCCCACAACCCGAGTGGCACCTGCCCGACAGGTGGCCGGATCCCCAAGAAATGCGGCGCATGCGGCAGCACCTGCAGCCCCAAGGCCCGTGCAGCGGCCGCGCAGCGACGCCTGCCAGCGCGGGTTCCATGGCGGTGTGGATGACACCGGTTTTACTCGTCTTAAGAGTGTAACACCCCATAGTACGCTTGGGAAGAAACTGAAGGAACCATCCAAAAATATCCAAAACCTTCAAGTCCCAAAGAACCAAAAACTCTTCTAAGTCCTGGAAAAGGTCGATGAACACTCACAAAAGGATTTGGGTTATGATATATGTTATCGAGTCCTTTTCCCGAGGCAGCTTTTCCAGGTCCATGGAAGCCTCCGTGACATGATCCATGGGTAACACCGACGACTTCGACGCGGGCCTGAAAGGGTAATAAGAAAGTTCCTCAAATGTCTGGAGTTGTTTTTGATTTAAATAGCTTTAATACATGTTTTCATTATGATCTGATCCATGATTCGCATCGCGAGGAACGAAGGATCGCATATCAGTTCTTTGTTCGCGCCGATGTCTGGCATTTCTCCCAACCGTTGCTCAAACAAGACTGTGATACAGTGACGGATGCAGCAGTTGCCCATCTTTTGCTTATATATGGATCTCAAAACCAAAAAAACAGAAACTAAATGAACTGGTCCTGAAGACTGTTGTGCAAAAACACCTTTTCGAACCAGTGTTTCTTCATGTTTCTTCTCGCCCTCCACGTCCCCCACGTACGTCCAACGGTCCAGTGACGTCAGGACTTCAAGCTTCGCAGCGATGCGCTCGGGCTGCCATTGGAGCACCTTCGGGCGGGAACCGCGGACCGCGGGAACCGCTCGCTCTCGGTTGGGCTCGGGCGTGGTGTGGCTCGTCCCATCGAGTAAGTGGATTCGACAGCGACCCAGGGACACCCCTAAGCTCCATACCACCGGTTCTTCATTGCGGTGTTGGGAATGGTTTTAGATCAAGTTGAAGACAAAGAGAAATGCCATCTGCAAAGCTACTTTGTTGAACAAATGGGATCCAATCAAAGTCTGTTCTTTTTGCTAGTCTGTTGGTCCTAGTTAGCTTGGTTAGGAGTAGTTGAGCATCTGCTAGAAGGTCCTACCACCCCACGACTGCGAGTCTTTTGAACAGTTTTGTGCTGTACACTGCACTTTGTTGCATCGACGGAAGATACATGAAAAAACACATATTTTTTTGAGACTTCTATTTCGGTTCACCGGTTTGTGGGTCTTACTTGCTCGCTCCAAGCTTGCTTCTTCCAGCGGCTCCAGACCCACGTAGTGCCTGTTCAAGGGCCCCAGCAACCATTGGCAAAAGAATCGGATTCATCCTCCCACCAGCATCAAACTTCTTGGCGCCGTTCTGGAAGGTTTCCTGGGGGACACAGGACAGATTGAATAATCAAAATGATGATCTGCCCTGGAAGAGACCCACAAGGAACCTGAAAAATGGTGGTTTGTGTTCAAGGTTCCATGTGGGTCTCTTCCCGGGTGTATTTGCTCCCTTCAGCAAGCCAACGGTAAAACAAAACAACAACGATGGACGTGAGACAGGGTTCATCCACCCAAAAGTGAACACTTGTTTCAGTCGGATGAACTGAAAACGTGTCTCGGCCGTATGCGAACTTCTTACCACATCCCTGCAAAGCCTTGAAGCTTCCCGTCCTTGAGAGTGAGTCACTGCCAATTTTTGACAGATATTACCAGCACCACCCAGGTCGGAGGGTAGATCTCCAATCAGCATCCAAACCCAGGTGATGGTCTTAAGGGTAAAGCCCCAAGTAGAAGGTCCCACGTCCCACGTCAGTTTTTTTTGCAGGACTCCACGACTCCACCAGTAACCGAGACTCCGAGTAACCGGGGCGTGCCAGGTCAAAGGCCAAGCAAACGTCACCATCCGCGCCCAGGCGGTTGTGCTCATCCTGACCGAAGGGTCACCATATGTCTATGTCACCATGCTTTTGGTAGACATTCATCACAGGACGTGATAATTTAATACGGATCAATCAAACACTGTTGCTACTGTCCTGTTTGCAAAGGAGAGAATGGGAAACATCACATCATGAAGAACAACCTTTAGATATATAGATTTGAATAGGATCCAAGCTTCGTAAGGCATGTTGTCAACATTGTCGTCACACAATGGCTTTGCCGGCAAGGCAAATGGAAAGCCTGAGAAACTGCAAAGCAAAAGCCAGCGCTTTTTGTCCACGAGCACGTTGTAAAGAGAGATAGTAAAAGTGCAACGGTAGCTACCCTGGGTCCGCGTGCGCGCGCCTTGCTGGCTCCCGGTCTGCCCTAGATTTAGGCGCTAGCGCGGACCCAGGGTAGCTACAATTCAGTTGCCAGGTATAGCACTTTAATTTCCCTTTCCGTCAACCGCTAGATAACCACGGATTTGAAGATTGATCATTAGTGATTTGACCTTATATAGGTGTGCAAGAAGGTTATGCATTCACAGCTGCACGACGCTGCAACAGATCGGCCTCTGTAAAACTACACCTTACCATTCAGATGATGCAAATGATGCAAATTGCATTTCTTGCATCACCACCCCCACGTAATTTCGAGTGTACGTGGTACGTTCTCGGCCCCCCCCATACCCCCTACTTGCTCACTTCGTTCGCCCAACACAACTCAGCTGGCGCCTTCTACGAAGGCTGGCTTTCGTAAAGAACCGTTTCTCTTGCGCACACACACACACACAAAAGGTTGTTTGATCCCTCCGAGACCGCAGACCAAAGGTCACAGACATACAACGTCAAACTAGCTAGCTAACTAACTAACTAACATCAACTAACATTAACCAACCAACCAACCAACCAAGCAAGCAAGCAAGCAAGCAAGCAACCAACCAACCAGCCAGGCAACCAAGCAACCAAGCAACCAAGCAACCAACCAAGCAACTAACCAACTAATTTTTTAAACTTTTAAAACTACGTAACTAACTAACTAACTTGCTTGCTTGCTTACTTGCTTACTTATTTACTTATTTACTCCCTTCCTTCCTTCCTTCCTTCCTTCCCTCCCTCTCTCCCTCCTTACTTACTTACATAGTTGCTTACTTACATACTTGTTTACTTACCTCACTGACGAACTAACGAACTAGCCACCTAACTAACTAATAATTCACTCACTCACTCACTCACTAACTAGCTAGCTAACTCAACCAAACCTAACTTAACTTAACTTAACTTATATAACACAACTTAACCTAACTTAACAACGCGACTAAACTAACAATCTATATATATATATATATAACTCGGTGTCCACAAACCAAATGACCATGTGCTCGACTCATCCGGATGACTCCCTCGCCTATCCCATTCCACAAGGTGTCTGCGTTTCCTTTTCGATGCGGCTCGCCGCTCAAAGATTATCCGCATAAACCCTAAGGTCCCTGTTTTGGGGCTGGCTACTCCCCTGCAGAGGACTACATGGAACCCCCAAACCACTGGGATTGGTATTCGGAAAATGGTCGAAACCACTGGTCAATTCTCATGTTAGTCTGCGGGGGCCGGGTACCCTATTTGTTATGTAGCTATGGATATGCTGTGCAGCCATTTTTGGTAGAACCAAAGCCTAAACCATCGGGAATACTAGCTGTATAGCTGTGATTGCATCTCCATTTGCCGGTGAATCTTCATCAGTCCAGCCTGAACGATAGGCTCTGTCTTCGCATCATTACTCCATTCTTCAGAGGCATAGACCTCACCACACCCATTGGTGACACCATTCTATCTGCAAAGGATCCTTTACACAATCTTGGACATGCGCCCAAAACACGGGCTGCTGCCTGTCTGCCACTTTGCTGCACCAAAATATATGCAACATGATTCATGATGGAACATGTAGGGCGGGAAAAAGCAGTAGACAAAACCCTAGAAGTCCAAAGACAATTTTGTCGTACCACTGAACCTGACTAACCTGACTCCCGCCTCCCTCTGCATCCGCGAATGGGAGACAAAGGTCAATTGCTTCGTCTTCAGTGAGGGCCTAGTCTTGGCTTTGATTGGTTGAACACTTAATTCACATCTTTGTTTCCTCCCAACAGAAATTTTGTTGGTCCATTTTGCTTAAGACATGGCATGATGACCTACCCTAAGAATCCAGGCCCTCCAAGGCCCTCCAATAAAAAGGGTTTGCTTCGGGTCCAGACCGGGCTCGGTCTCAGGTCCATCATGAACCTGGTCTCCGACACCTGCCGTCCGATGTTCTGTCCACTTCCCACCGCGCACGCGGACCCGAGCGAGCAGCCAAGGAGAGTCCGTAGGGTCCGAAGAGCCACTTGTGCACGGAACAGGCCTCGGAGCGGTCTCGGGCAGCGTCTCGGAGCCCGGTGAGACGGTCCGTCGGATCGGAGACCCGTTCGGAGGTTCCGGTGCTGGGGATGAGCAAGGACGGTAACTTGCTTCAGGAGCCAGGGAATAAAACATAACATAACAAACATATATATATTATATATCTTTTCACCAGAAAGGGAAATTCACCGAACATGGTAAGAAGCCAAACCAAGAATGATGGCAGATCTTGGGAAGGAGAAGTTCACGCCTGAGAGTCTGGCAGAGCCGGATTGGACTTCGGAAAAGGACATCTGAATAGGTAGCTGGCGAGCCAACTCACTTAGTGGTCACCTCCCACTGCAACCTAAACAGAACGATGAACGATGTCTATGTTCACCTGCCACCCAATGTAAACCCTAGGCTTCCAACCACCATTAATTCAATAGGCTTTACCGAATCAACTAGGGATTTCACACTACAAAAACCAGGTCAATTATTAGTTTTTAAATGGTCTTGGAAGTCTAGGGTAAATATGCCATCGGCATGGAGCCTCTAGGAATCGATCCACTCACCAAACCGGCTCCGCGTAAACTTCTGCGGCCATGGGCACCAGCCAATCGATCTTCCAATCCTTCACATGGATGGGAACCACACCTTGGCTGTCCAGTCTGCTCCTTTGCTGAGGGTTTAAGCTTTAGTGGTTTTGTATGGTTCAGTAAGAAATCCCTTCTAAACCCACATCTGGCACTTTCTGGGTCTGCTTTTTCCTACACCGAAACGACCGTCAAGACACCCAAAGACTGTGTGGCGTCGACCACCAGCAGCGAGCGCGAAGCAGCGGTACCGGCCGCGTCGTCCAAGAGCTGCGCAGCGAGGTCCGAACCGCCGAACGCACGGTGGTCACCCGGTTCCCGGGGGCTGCTGGCCCTATCTCCCTCCGGCTCGATGGTTTCAACCCCGCAACCCCCACCTCCGGGTGGACGGGAGCTGCAGTCCATTCGACCCCGCTGGCGGAATCGAAGGGGATCCAGTCCGTCCTGGTCCACTCAATGCAGGTGGTGTTTTTTCTGACATAGAGAATAAGGGAATGAGCCCCCAATAGAGATTCTATTGGATCCATTCCCTCATTCCCTGCTAAGCACCAGTCAGTTTTGGAGGAAGATCCGACTGGTGGCACTGGTGGGTGCAGGGCGAACGATGAAGGACGCAAGGACGAATCGAATGTGTTTGGCATGCTCTGCGAGGATCAAACGAGTCTTGAGGGGTTAGGTCCAAGATTTCTTACTGAGCAATAAACGAGTATGGGCACAGTAGTGTTAGTCTTGTTGTTGTGTTATAGTTTTTCTTTTTCTTCTTCTTCTTCGTCGAAATTAGTAGCCCACTGCCACTTTGGCTCAGTTGGCTCCTATCCGTCTTCAGTGCTTTGAATGTTTGTTTGAGCACAAAAGGTGTAGGATTGGCCGATTGGCCCATGCTGTTCATGCAGAAGTATCCCTTCTTCTGTAGTGTTATATTAAATTCCATCAGTTGCTTGCGTACATTGACCATCTGTTTCAACATCTTTGCACTCACTGGCTCTCAGGAAACTCTGGATCTATAAATACTTATTACATTGTCATGACATTGTCTACTAGTACAGCTCATCACCTTGCACGAAGGTCCCTGAAGATCTTCACTCCAAGAAATTGGAGAAGTTCATAAAGTTATACCTGGACCCTCCAAGGGGTGTCCAATGGACTACTCCACACTACCTATAGGCTTCCATTGGGCACCCCTTGGAGGGTCCTGGTATAGTTATATATATATATATCTGCTTGGAAAGAAGTTGGCCAGTTGATGTTCAACATGCAGCCATCAACTGATTCTCACAGCTCTTTCCTTCGTCGTCTTGCACTCTGAAGGGTGCACGTCTTGCCTGACCTGGTGGGCTCATCACATCTTGCCAAAACCTCCAAGATGGATCCGGGTCCCATCCACCATTCCACGATTTTGCCAGACATGTTCATTTTGTCCCAAGCTCGAAGGGTTTGGGGGGTTGGACTAACTAGTGCCATCCGTTTTTGGGACCTTGCATGGGTGATAATCAACATGAGTTGCGTGGGTTGACCCCTGCCTGGAACGTCTTGGATAGATCCTTTTTGTCACCATAAGAGTGGATGATGGTTGGCACCCACCTCTTATGCCAGGGCCAGCACCCACCTCTTTTCGTGACTCCAGGGCTCTAGGACCTAAGCCATCACTCACTAACCACTGAAGCATCAGAAAAAAAATCACTCATCCTTCAGACCCCCGCAGCGAAGCATCACTCCGAACTGAAGCATCACTCACACTTCACCATAACTTCAGAACATTTTCAGGTTCCCCCCCCGGGCCGGCAACCTCGAGCGAACCACGACGACGATCACCGGGCCGGGCGTGGAGATCGCGGCCTTCCTCAAGTGTGGAAGATCCACCGGAGACCCATCGGTCCACAAGAAGTGCGGCACCGCACACACAGCGATCCGATGGCCTGCGATGGTGTGATCGGTGACGAGGCTGGGCTGTCTGGATTCAGAAAGGCCCCAACGTTTGGGGCGGTGACTGGACACCCCAACCATTTGGAATGTCTATCGCTATGATTCGACACGTTTGAAACGGGGGGGGCCCTCATATATATCCCAAACACTCCATGTATGCCAATATGCCTACATTGGGGTGGTTGTTTTGGGGGGGTCAATTGATCGGCAGTCCTATGGCAGTCCCATGTGTCGTGTCTGGGTAAATCATTGTTTGCGTGTTTGAAGAATGTCAACACCTTTTATACAAGGTAAAACCTTATAGTATCCTATGAAAACCTTATAGGATGTTTGCAGTAAGAAAAGCATGTGTAGTATGTCAACGGAGCGATCGGACCCTAAGGGGGGCTCCTGGCCTTATTACTATGATATCACAACTTGTTCAACAAGTCCATCGAACATTCAGGGTGCCTAAAAGCGTTCCGAGACTGACAAAAATAGAAGGCTAACTAGTTTTTGGCTGTGCAAACTGCAAACTGTTCTTTCGTAAGTACAGGGATCAGTGCCTCGATCTGATTGCATTTCTAGCAAGTGTTGTTTGCAACTCAAACAAATATTTACCATGCATGCACTTCTTTGGTAAAGCAAGCGCGTCTAACCTGAAGTACTGATACATGTCTGAGTCTGAGCATGTCATGTCTTTTCTCATCCCTGAAGAGAATGAACATTGAATACAATGTTATTTCCATGTTCTGTCTTTTAGAATATATGCTACATAATGTATGCAGTAATACAAGGGTGATTACCCAGTGTTCTACTTCAATTAAGCATGTGTCTTTTCCCACTGATTGCTGCTGACATTGCGAAACACATTTGTTTAGGATCTTGCACGCCCCACTTTTTCGACAGAAATGATTCTTTCCCACATCCCTGTTCTATTGTTCTGCTGTTGCTTTCCTCTGGGATCCGTGCATCTGAATTACTACTACTACTACCACCACCAAAACTACCACTACCGCCACTATTACGACATATTACGACTATTACTTCTTCTTCTTCTTCATCTTCATCTTCTTCTTCTTCTTCTTCTTTTGGGAGAACTCATTCTACTCAAACGCCCTCAATCCTTTGCTGGGGGAGGTGGATTGCTCAATTTCCAACATCACCCCCAAATAGGAGCGGCGAAAAGTGAAGGAGACCGGCGCCTGCAGCAGTTTCTGCACGGATGCTCTCTTCCAAAGCTTTATTCCATTGAGATTCCGATCCTCCAAGAGAAGCGACCGGTGCATCCAACCGAAACACGCGGCTTTGGAGACCAAGAAGCGACGAAGCGACCATCAGCCCTTTGGGGCAAATGAGGTTCTTCCTTGTTTCAGAGGGGGTCTGAATGGATCCTCGAATCCTCTACGTGTCTTCTTTCGAATTGATCAATATGTTGGGTATGTCTCCCATGGCCACCCAGTGGATGATCATTAGGTTGCCGACCTCCAAAACAAGGGTGATCATTCTTGAACCCAACGGCTCGACCGGTTTTTGAACCCGACGGCTCGACCGGTTGAATCAGTGATCTTCTTAGGGGTCGAACACTCCAAACAGGACAGGACGTGTGACCCCTACACTGAGGGATACTTCAGGAATCAATCCGGCAAACCAGAGTGGACCATCTTGCAAGTATCTCATAAACGACATGTCAGGAACACAGAATAAATACCCATAAATCTTATTCTTGGATTCTTGGTATTCAAATAATACGGGGTCTTTCCATGCCATGGAATCCACCTCATCTACCCCATCTCTCTCCCAGATGTGCCACGCGTCCTCGTGGCACGGCCACCAGCCGCGCTGAGGCCTCACGGCAAAGGCGTTGCCAGGCGTAAACCTCGGCGGAGACAGAGCGGCGGCTGGCGGCGGAGGCGACGATGAGATCAGTTTGACAAAAGGCAGAAACGAGTGAGGACAAATAACAATTATAGAAAACAATTGGACAAAGCATGTGTCATTGCCAACGGCAGGGTGCAAATAATGCCTAAGAGATCTAAGAGGTAGGTGGATGTATACAAGTCACTTCTAAAGAAAACAAGTCTGATGTGTGGATGGTGCCGCAACATGCTGGAGTGTTCATGACTCAACCATTGGACCAACAAAGGTTCAAAAGGCCAAGATTTAGACTTTGGACCTGTTCCACTAAAGAATACAGTTTAAAGTATGCTGGTATATGAAGGTGCATGAAACAAAAAATCAAGCTTACTTATGGATCCTGATTGACAGGAATAGCTGCTTATGTTACTCGGAATGGGATATACGTGGATACCCAGAAACATGTGGGACTGAAACAGCAGCGCAGCCGGCACGAACGGCCATGTGCCGTGTCGCTTAACTTATTTGTGTCATCCCTTTTGATCCCTTTCGTTTTTTGTTTAAAGTGGGGTTGAGATTTGGACGAACTGTAGCTGAGAGGTCGCCGGAGGCACGGCAGGTACAAACCCTAGTGACCTTCTCTGATCCAAACAGGAATATACAACGCATTTTCTATCCAAAGGACTCTAAGTGAGGCCACTATGACCAGATCAGCTCAAGCCACTCAAACCTGCGGTGATCGCGAAGGAATTCTCTTTGTTTTGATTCTTTCCATACAGGGGCCTTGTCGCTTCATTCAACGAGGGCCTTGTCGCATCATAAAACTCTTGTCGCCAGGGAGCGTTGGAACTCATTTGATCTTGGAGAATGATGACTGCTTCGCCTGAAACAACACCGATGATGACTGCGGGGCCTACTGATAGATCAAAACTAATGGAACTCATCAGGCACCAACCCCAAAGAATCCAAAAACATGTTCTATACTTGTTTGCACTCTGTAATTCAAACTCATTCGACCCTGGAGGAGGTTTTCGGGGCTGCGATGTCTGCATAGGTCAGATCTTCCAAACAGTCAGATCTTTCTGTCGCAAAGTCCTTTGTGATCCGGCCGTGACCAGCTGTTTACATCCTGGAAACACCAGCACGCATGCCAACAAGTTCAACAATTCTTCCTCCATGTGGGCAGTTCAAATGGGAGCCTGACTTAAGCTGTGAACTACGTCTTCAGCACGGCATCGTACAGGAGATATATATATATATATATTTTTGAATTCTGTGGAATACATGGCAGGTGTCCCATGATATTCCAGGTCCAACATGTCAAGACCGGACATCGAAACTGTGCAAACCGACACCTTGGAGCACCGGAGCACCGGACCATCAACCCAGCACCCATAGTGGGGCACGCCCGGGCACGCGTGGGGCACGCCGATAGTGGGTTCACCAAGCTGAATGGATCCTTTAAGAACATGCAGTGATGGATGGTCTTGTCAACTGGAGCACTTGGACGATTCATGTTAACTGTTGATTAGTTACCCTCCTCTGGTTATTGTGTGTGCACCTGTCGTTTCGACTATTCACCCACCTGATTTTTGTCTGCACCATTGGGCCGTAATAATATTTGATTAACATCTCCTGCAATAATGTCTACGGTCTTCATTGTGAATTGAATCATATATATGTTGTTTCCTAAGTATTGATTTCCGTTTTATTCCTGTTCATTTCCTTTTGATTCCTTTTTGATATCCTGTTGATTCCTTTTGATTTCCTTTTGACTCCTTTTGACTTCCTTTGGAGTCCTACTTGATGTCCGTTCAATTAATTGACTATCTTAATTATAGAAAGTAATGCGTTTCCAATCAGTATAATTTGTCATTTTTCCAAGCATATGTTACCAAAATATCACACCACCTACAATAATGTCACTCCCTACAATAATGTCTATGCTTCTTCTGCTTATTTTTTTCAATTATATATCTGTATGTTGATTCGTTTTGGATTCCTATTGGTTTCCTTTCGATCTCTATTAATTACCTTTCACAGTGTTTCACCTTTAACTCCCTTTATTAATCTTATTAAAGTAATACAAACATCGATTCCACAAAGAGGGCAGCCCAGTACACTAGAAATCTTGATTAATATCATCCCCTAGAAAAAGGTCTACGGCTTTTGACAAACATTATCTTCAATTGAATAGCTACCTGTTTCTTTTGACAATATGCCTGCTTTTGTTTTCTTACAACCGTTCCTTTCCCAAAGCATCCCAGTCCAAATTCCAGAACCTTTGAGCGTCATGTCTTTATGCTTCCCTTTGTTAAAGTCTATCCGGAAATGGCAAAAAAACAATGGCACAATGGGAGTGAGTAGCCCAGTGAAACTCAAATCTTGAAACTTATCACACCCTAGAAAAACATCTACTCTTTTTGTCCGGGAAACGTTTTTGCTCCATACTATAGTTACATGGTTCTTTAACCAATATCCCACTCTTTTGTGCGTCAGCTCTTTGTGACACCCTTTATTGAAGTCAGTACAAAAACTGCAAAAAACAATTCCACAAAGAGTAGCCCAGTGAAGCCCAAATCTTGAATAATATCACCCCTACAATAACATCTAAAATGTTTGCCCGGCAAGAGTTTTTGCTCAATAGAATAGTTACATGTTTCTTGTGATTTCTCTTTGGTTCCTTTTGATTTCCTTTTGATGTCCTTTTGATTTCATATCAATTCCTGTTGACTTGCTGTTGATTTCCTTATGATTTCCTTTTGATTGCCTTTTGTTTTCCTTTTGATTGTCTATTGATTCCTTTTGATTTCCTTTCAAATTCTTTCGGATTTTCCAGAATCATTCTTGATTCCGGAATCTCAAGGATTTGACGAGGGGGGAGGGAAAGCAACCTATCAAGAGTCAACTGCACAAACGTGTTTCCAGAACCCAAACGCGACAGAACCAACATGGCTCCCACCTGCTCGAATGTGACCGAGCTTGAGAATGTTGTGAGCCACCTGAAACCGTGACGCTGGTCAACGATGGTGACGAGACGTGGCTCGGGTGAAGACGTGGTCGACAGATGAATTGCACTGGTCAATCCAAGCAATTGGTTAAAATGAAGCCCTACAGTACAGGCTCTGAGTGGATCTAGTGTTCAAAAGATGCAAAACATAAAGACTTGAAACTATAAATACAATAAATAAGTCAGTCGTTCCATTTCCAGGTGTAAAATACTCACAAACACAGTTGACTTGCACTGACCTCTCAGTGTCCTTTAACATTATATATAGAATTGACCTAGGCATGCAAGAAGTGCAAATAAATGAAACTTGTTCAGCTGCAAACGCTCCTGGCAAAAGACCCTATCTCCTAACCAAATGGATGGTTTATGAATATTTCCTGCCCTGCACTGCGTACGGCGGCGCAGGGCGCACAAACCATCGACAGCTTCGACACAATGAAAAAAACGAAGCCAACATCTTCAACATGGGGATCACTTTAGCCTGGATCCCTGAAAATAACACATACATAAACATACTTAAGAAAAAACAATGTCATTATATTGTGAAAAATCCTCTGGTCAAAAAGTCCCTGGAACATGTTAAAATCCAACAAGCCAACCTGATCCAGCAAAACCGAGCCTCCAAGCCTCGGTCCTAAGCTGTCCTCCCTCGGCCCAAAAAGCTTCGTCCTGCCTGAGAAATCGCATAGGAGGTCGAGGGCACCAAAGCCACATCTTTGGCATCACAGTGAACAAGCCGGGCGAACTGCGCTCGAACCTGCAGGTCGAACGACTCCTTTCACGAGGAGGTCGAACGGCGTGGAGGGAGGGATGTTGACATGGTTTGGAGGTCTGGCTGTACGATGCTATAAGGCGGCCTGAAGATGCGGGAACCACCAGCTGCACGAAAAAGAATCGCAGTTGTTTTTGTTCCCTATGCCAATTAGTAAACATACATGTTCGATGGTTCTGCCATTCATGTTGAGTGGATCAAAACAGCTATAAGGGTCAAGACAAATGGCCTGGTTCAACGATCTGTTGCGCAAACAGGATGCTGATTCTGGTCTGAAACACGTCTAGTTCAATTTATGTCCAACTTTTTGGGACACCAATGCATGTCAAAAGAGATGTCTTGCAGCATCTTCCAGCCATCTGGCAGACAACGGCCCCCCCACCATTCAATAGTACCCTAGGCTGTCTACAGCATGAAGCATACAGAAGCCGGCAGCGAGCGCCTGTCCCAAAGAACCGGTCGAAAAGACTGTCAATCCTCAAACTCAGTGCCAAACACTGAGGATTGGATTCCCTTTCTATCTTGCACTACAGAACTCTCCCAAATGCCCAAACGTTGCCCTATAGGAGAACAGCTCAGTGCCAGTTTCGCTCTGACTTCTCGAGGGCCGGGGGCGGTCGGAGCGGACCACCGGAGTGGGGGGTGTCCTGGCTGGAGTATCCGATCTCCATGTTTGACACCCTTTGGATAGGCACTGGCAAGCAGCTAGAAGGGTCCCAAATATCCCTAGCCATTGAACATAAAGCTGGGTGAGTGTCAATTCAGGATTCATTTGCACCGGATTTTATGCATTATCATTGATCATGTATAGTAATTATATACTATTATATATATAACCGATGATACATGGGAGTATGTTAGCAGGACATCTTCCAAGCCACGCGAAGCCAAGCAGCTTGGTCTGCAATGCCATCATCCGCAATGCGCCAGGGATGGTTCTTTAAGGAGACCGCCTTGTGACCTATTTCTTCAACCTTGGCAACTGGAAGCCCTTGACGAACAAAAAAACAACTCGAACATTTGTAGATGAACCAAACTGAACAAACTGATCAATCATGTGTTCCTAGTGCCACACTTTCATGAGTACGAGAGACAGATTTGAAATCAGCTTCCACGGCCGGGAAAAATTACCCACATTGACCCCTTTTCAACCACCCCAATGATAATGTACAGTATGTAGATCCCATGGAGTCTGTGGTTTGAGAACCTCCCAAGTATATCACCCCCCCACATCACATTACCGCCATTGCTTGTCACATGCTATCACCCCGGCCATGACCCGGCCAAGATCACTACAAACGACGACAGAACCTGTCGTGGTGCAAACACAAATGACATGAACAGACCTGACATGACCTGACCAACGCTTGAGACCAAAAAGGAAGGCCTCACCGGCATCAACGTCCCACGGGTCACGTCTCTCGACGGGTCCGGGTCCGGTGACCCTGTTGGGGGTCCATCCCCTCCAAGACGCTGAGCGAAGCATGGGCGATCGCGAGGCACAATTGAGATACACCACCCCTGTTGCAGCGCGATGGATCGCGATCGGATCGGACGGCACGAAGGCGTAGCGGATCGTGGGGTGGATAATCCTGGACGGCAATTGGGTTGTCTTCTGCGGATGACTTCTTTTGGAGATTACTCAAACAGTCTAACAGTCCGGCAAAACAAGTTGTCCAACAGTCTACTAGTCCAACAGTCTACTGTGTGGCTGTTGGGTTAGGGTTATCAACTATTTGCACCTTTCCACGTTTTCTTTGGGTTGGATCCGCCAAAACCCAATAACGTCGGCCGAAATCACGCCTTCCGGCAAGGAGAACAAGTGCTTCTGGCATGACAGTTCAGAACTGTCTGCTTGGACCTGGGAAAGCATGAACTCTAGCCGAAATAACGGCCGAAAGTCGTTCCATCTCCCTCACGATCCAAACAATTGAACCGGAGTAGTTTTGGATGGTCAAAAGAACAGCACGGCACCATCTCAGAGTCTGGCCACATTGCCCATCAGTTCCAGCTCTTGTTGCGCGGCGCAGCGTACTGCCGAATTGATGCGGAACAAGAAGGTACTTGCCCGTGTGGCAGAGTAAAACACTTCTGTCTATACATATATATATATAACTATATATGTGTTGGGTACTATGTTGGGTATGTTCTATTACCAGTAACAGCGGACGATGATGGCTAGTAAAGTTTCAGGCCTTGCTCTACACTCACTGTTACAGGTAATGGGACAACCCCTATATATATGATGCAAGTTCAAACGGTAGTTGTCTCGTGCTGCTATCCAAGGGCGTTCTTTTTTCGGTTTACATGGCTGTCTGAACGTCGCTCTTGGGTATCAGGAAGCGAACGATGCTCTGAGCCAGCTCGTCCTCCATTTAGACCCCTTCTGCCGAAAAGAAGACACTCCTGCAGCGAAGGTACACTCCTTCTTTCGAAGATAAGTGGATTCGATGGCCCCACGGAACCATGGTGCTTTCCACAGAACCATGATTCTTCCAGGGAGTGTATCACTAGATCACTAGTCGTGGCTGTACCTGGTCTTTGAGGTGAGGCATCGACCGGAATGAAAAAAGAGTCAAAAAGAATCCGAGAACCTAGTCGAACCTATTCACTGGTAAGTTGAGGCCATCGATTTGTCAAGCCAAGTGGTTTCAACATTGATATCCCTCCAAATCTGCATTATATAAATATAAATGCAAAACTAACATGTGCACATCTGTTGCTATACATACTATACTAGTTGTATCAGTTACATTATATTTGATCTAATATTACATGTATCACTGTCCTCTTCACCTCGCAGTGGCTTCACACTGCTGGGCAGCCTGGCATGTCATTTTCACTCCGGCAGATACTGCCACCAAAGTCCAGCGCACTCCTGGCGTCGCACGCGTCGGTCGACCGGAACCGGCGTCGGTCCGAACCGGGAAACGCACACGCGTCGGTCGACATTGCATGCACCAAGCACCTGGCATTGGACGATGATCTGCCATTAAGTGGCTAGAGCATTCTATGTTGAACCAACTACATAGAACCCATTTGACATTGTTTTGATAGGAAAAGACTATCTTTTGGGTGGTTTGTGGTCCAAAATAGGTCATTGGGGTGTGGTCAGTGCAGCCAATGGCGAAGCTCGTTCGATCACTCCTGTAGGCACTGCTTTCCACAGCTGCACAGCGGCCGTTGTTCACGAGCAGCGCGCTCGTCCTGCACTGATTCAGTCGGTCTATGCCGATGTGGGAATCCTTCGCCCAAAAGAATCCAAGGGGGGACAAGTGGCCAATCCGAAGACCGAAGACCAATTCGATCCACATCACTTCATTTGCAATTGCAGTTTCCCACCGAACTTGTTGTCTAGCTTCCAGTCAACTCCCTCAATAAACTGCCACAACTGGACTGGCAGGTGAGCCAAAGCTTGCTCAGCGAATCCGATTCAAACATACGCTGTGATTGGCATTGACTGTATGGGTCATTGGCATTGCGCCGCGGATGGGATGCCAAAGTGGAAAATGCCCAACGTTCGGTGCCCGAGCATCCGCAACACGTTGGGTCAGGAAAACAAATAGAACATATTAGATACCTATAGAACCTCACTGAATGACCTCTATTTTGGACCACAAACCACCCAAAAGATATATGGTCTCTTCCTATCGAAACAAAGGTCAAATGGGTTCTAGGAATATATATATATATACATCCTTGCCAATTACTCTTTGTTGAAGGTTCCTTTGAAACAAGTCATCCTTATATCATATATCCTCTAAGATCCTCTAAGAACCTCCACACATCATTCACATTCAAGCAGGCCTTCCCCTACCCCCAAAACAGCCACAAACTTGAGGTATCCGCTGTGAATTGCCAGACCTAAGAGGGCATTCCTATATTTAATATGATCTCCGTGGTTGTTGGACCCCCCTTTTCCTCCATCCACCTAGCCCAGTCTCAAGCCACACCCTCCCGGCCTCCCCTAGATCACCGGGTGGCGCCACTCTCTCGAGGCCACGCTTCCCGGCGTGGCTGGGCTTCAGCCGGCCATTGAAGTGCAAAATCTTCGCCTCCCAACGAGCGAGCGGAGGAACCCGACGAGCGGCGAGTGGCTTCTCGCCGACCGGAATGGACACCGATCGACCTCTCGAACACCGCTTTGCGAGAGGAGTGGAGTCGAAAGCTCAGCCCTTTTTGCTTCCCCAGCACCAGAGAGACATGGAAAGCATGGCGTTTGCTTCTGAAGAGGAATCCGGTGGAGAACATCAGTCCACAAAAAAGGGTCTGCAGTGATTGAAGCGAGCTTGGGCACCGATGGGAATATTTGTTCTATGTTTTCCCCAAAGGAATTGAATTGACCCACGTCCCACTGCCATATAATTACCGTGGCGGTGAGACATGGCTCTGATTCGCGGCGAGAAGATCTGAACACGCCTGGTGTTCATATACACTGTGCAGAGTAGCAGACTAGCATTCCCTCAAACAGTATGCAAAACAGCTGCGATTCAGATCTTCTCGCGTTATTCAGCATAAGAAACCTGGCACTGTGTTCATTCCCCGTCATTCCCTCTTCAGACGGTTGCACATGTTTGCACTGCTACCCCTTGGCCCTTGGCCTTTGGATAGACAGGAGTGCAGTCTGCAGCTTCAAAGGACTGGTCCCACCCCCCAGGGGCATTTTTACCCATGTGTTTTTGTTTTGTTTTTCCTTTCGGCACATTCATACAACTCAAGATGGGAGCCGAAATCCAGCTCCAAGTGCCCACCATTCCCGTGCAATTCTTCTTCTGCGCCTTCTGCGCCAAGGCTGAGATGTAGGGTGACAAAGCCCAGCCTTTACATCCTGTTGCGAGCACTGGCCAACGATTGAGAACGGGGATCTCGGATTCCCCCCTCAAAATAGAGGATTAATGAACATATCACAAGATGGTGTGTATGTGCGGCACTATGAGTGGCAACATTTAGAACATATGATAACTGATACGAGTAGCACGAAACCCCGAAACAGCAAATGACCAAACATATTCAAAGTCATAAGGATGTCTACCACAACATCTGGCAGTATGCTTTGCTTCAAGCAACAAAGTGTAGTCACGGACTCTCTACACAATGTACACCCCAAAAGAGATGTGTCCGCTTGCGTCCTGAAAGAAACCCTCGCCTGGGCAGCAGTGGAATTTGCACTTGTACAAGAACTTGTCAAAGTACGGGTCCCACCTGAGTTTGTTTGGATCATGGCTGCCATTTTTTTCTGGATCTTGTTTGGTTTCTTCGGTTTCTTCCTCACCAGTGTGTGCATTTCTCATCCCCCCCCAGCCAAGCCATCGATGGAACACGAAAAGACACCATCGCTTCACCCCGCCTAAACCCTAAACCCTACACCTGCAGAGGACCATATGGAACCCCAAAGCACTGGGTCTCTATCTGACCTGAGAGGAACAGGTGAGGATAGAACATGGTCCCATAAAACCCATGGAACCTGAGAGGAACATGGTCTTCTATCGGTGAAGTCTCAGGTTCCATGGGATCCTTTGCGGGGAGAGAAGAGACCAACCTTCACTCTTCATGGCGTGAGCGTGTCCTACGTACCTGGACCGGCCACCGGCGGGTCGGAAGGAACCGTGTTTGGGCTGAGGGCGTGTTCGTTCATTTAGAATTATGTGTTGGATTGTTTCTTTGATAACACATAGCTAAAACAATGTTACTGTATTGTTGTTTTGTGTTCGCTGGAAAGCCTGCCAGTCCTTCCAAACCACCCAGTGCTTCAAACTCTCCAAGCAACAAAGAACAACCCCAAAAAACAACAACTCATTATACCAACCTTGAAACACCTTTGGCTGTCGGCTCATTATTCTATCAAACACGTTTGAACACCAGCCAACCTCTTGCTGTAGATCATAGATGTCAACAAGAAATCAAAAGGAATCCAAGAAGGCAAAGAAGGAGCTTGACAAGACAACAAGCTTGGATTCCTAAATTGTTATCAATGTTATGTTGCTTTCAATTGAACATAAACCATTTGGCAAAACGACAGTAAGATATATAACGGAACACTAGGACTCTAAGTGGACTTGGAATGTCCAAAAAACGAAATCATAAGAAATCTGGAAATTGAATTCCGGAGGGAATCAATTGGAACCTAGAGGAAATCATGGGAGTGAATCAGTTGGAATCTAGAGGAAATCATGCGAGTGAATCAGTTGGAATCTAGAGGAAATCATGCGAGTTAACATCTGAAACCAGGACCACACAGAATAGAAGTATGTCCTAAACACTTACCTCAGGCAATGACATGAACTAGTGAGTTCAACTAACTGGCCTTGAAACATGGTCTTCCAAAAAGCCTTCGTTGGCACCGCCTTCCTTTGGTCACTATCGGATCGTCACCGCCCAAGGCACTGCCTCCTCTTTTTGTGGAAGTCCACCTGGCGAGCCAAGGCGCCAAGGCTGAGACCCCGGCGCCTGAACACGTTTGAACACAGAGAGGCCCCTGCCTGGCTTTCATGGAAAGAAAAGCATTGACCGAAAGAGACCCCTTTTTTCCCCCCACCGGCAATGTGAGGTTCAATATGCCATGATATAGGCCTGTGTATAAGGTTTTTCATGGAGTGTCTGGGAACCCTTCTCAACCTCTCAACCGTCCGATTCGTAAAGAAACCACGCTCTCTCCCCAGCGAATCCTCCAACGCCGTCCCCACCTCTTCAGGCGCAATATCTCCACGGCCCAGACCGCGCACGTTGAACTCCGCACCCAGGTCATAGTACTTTCCCGCCAGCGCGATCAGGAAGGGCGGCTGGGAGACGCCCGCGCGCCACAGAGGGCCTTTTCCTGAACCGAACGCGTTTCGGTTCAGGTGAGTCATAGAGTCCATGAGTGAGTATCTTAGATTAAATACAGTTGGTGCATAGAGTTCCCCATGAACGCTGAGAGTACTTTTCAAAAGTTGTGACACGAGCCGAAGAAAAACAAACACACACGCATCGATTGATCTGAATATCCTCAAATCATTATACAGTATATCAAGCTCCGATCCATTTTGCTTCCAAATCTCTCGACCCAGGTTCCAGTCACCCGTGTTTCTACCTCCGCCCGGCCGAACAAAAAAAGAAACATAGGGCGCCTTTGGTGAGATGCAATCGCACCAATTCTTCAATGATGCCCGTGATGTTCTGAGACTTCCAAACTGCAAGGTCCAACAACACCACGCCACGATTGATCACACAACCTTGGCGTTGTTTGCTGTTCTTTTCGTTTCCCGTTTCGCCAGACGAACGAATTTATGCCTGGAGACATCATCCAACCAAGGAGGGAGCTGAACAGGCTTAGATGCTCTCAAGCAGATCCTTTTTCATTGAGAAGAACAAACGAAACTATTCAATGGAGCGTGATATTGATAAAGTCAATAACCAATGTCAGTTACTGTCAAATTGCATACTGTTACAGTGCTATCCCCTTCTCTCCCCCTTTCCTGTGCTCATCATGTACTTTGACCTTTGTATGCAAACACTTGACACAAATAGGTATGCCCAAGCAGTAGTTGACAGTGTTTGAGATTGGCATATGCTTTTGATATTATGTAAGATATATATATATACAACTATACGTAATGAGCAAATGCCAGTGAATTATATTGTAAGTGCTGCTGTAAGGATAAATTATTATGGATTTATGCAATATCTGAACATGTTGTCTCTCATTATAACATGTTACCTCACTTGCTTTGCACCCGCTTCAGTTTGGGGCAACAACGGCCAGGACCGGAGATCGACGATACTCCCTGATGCATACGCACGCGCTTCTTGGTAGCCAATTCTTGCCTGGGTCCAAGTTTCACTGCTGGGTCCCAGAAATGGAAGCTGCACCCCAGGTGGAGTCCATGTCAAGCCTACCCCCTTCATCCACTTCTCCAAAGAGCATCCTAGACATGCCAGCCTCTCTCGAGTACGAGGCCCCAACCAATTTCCAATGGGTGAACATCTCCCTTCAAGTCTTCACAGAATCCCTTGGCAATATCCGATTCTACTCTGCATCCGGCTCCCCTTCTCCAAGGGTACCAAACCAGCTCCCAAGCACCAAAACAACCCTCCTTTTCCTTTGAAACCAAGGTGGCCCTTCTTTCTGGCTTGGAGCCCTTTTGGCAGCTCACTTTGGAGCGCCTTGGACCGCATGCGATCAAAGTCCAAATATTTGCCTCAGCCAATGGAGCAAACAGCGATCTGCCAGGCGCCATGGCCCGAGAACGTGGAAACACAACCAGAACTGGTGGGAAATCTGTTGTCGATTCCACAACAACCAATAACACATAATCAGAACCAACCAACCAGCCAACCAACCCACCAACCCACAAACCCAACCCAACCAACCCAACCAACCCAGCCCACCCACCAACGAACCAATAACACCCACACAATCTATATCGACCAGTTAATGGCAAGGAATTGACATATATTGAACTGATGACGGTCACATCCCCTCACACTGATTGCAAAGCAAACGTCATCAAACTTCATTCCCAAGCAACCTTCCTGCCCAAACACATCGCCCTCACACATATTGACATCGCATTCAACTGGTGATTAATTAAAATGCATCTTCCAAACCTCGTGGGTTGCCTGTACTTAATCTTGAGTATTTAGAGTAACTATAGACATGCATCCAAAAGGGTCTCAGCCCATGGCTGGGCCTCCACCCATCTGCCCAGTTGCCCATCCGCTGTGAGCAATCCTCTGCTGCACCAGCTGCAAAGCCGTGCAAATTGAACGAGGCCAGCTCAGCCAAATCCGATGTCACCACCACGTCCGTGTCCAAATACCTGACGCCAAACATCTCCAAACAGGAAAAAAACCATCGGCATAGATGCCGCCCCAGTACGATCGATCGTCCGGTGAGGCGACGTCGGACTCGTCGTGTCCGGACCGACGTTTTCGCTCGTCCGGGTCTGCCCTCCGGTTCGACCGAAAATAGACCACCACCCGGCCAGGGGGGGTCTGTCGTTCTGTGTTCTCTCTTTTCTAATACACATTACACACACAAATAAATGATCCCAGAAGTGCACTTCTGTGTTCTTAACATCTCGAAGTTGCGGTTGCTTCGATCAACCTTGTGGTTGATCCATGGTTTGATCCCCAAGAGAGGCAGGGCCTGTCGGATTATTTCTCCACAGAAACAACTGTTAGCTGAGGAATATGTTGGAAAGTTCCCCCAGAGTCATCACCACCTAAGGCAGAGGACCCAGGAACTTCTCTAAGAATCAGTTGAGGTTCACTTGTATGGTGGAACTGGGATGGTTTGAAATGGGAAAGCCTAGACTTGAAGATCCTTGAAGCCGGCTTCAAGGCGTAGGCCGTAAGGCTCTAAGGCATTGTTTTCGTCTAGGCTATCCACAATCTTCACCAGCCTTCTTATACTCCTACAACGCCCTCTCCAACATTCTAAAAAACATCAATATTAATACTTAACGAGAACAAAACTATAACTATAGCGTCTCTAGCGCACCATATGGCCACCAAAACGCCCCCCGCGGATCACGTCCAACGGATCCGCTTTGACTGTACCGGGCGACAGGACGCGTCCGCCAGGCGCATCGGGCAGCGCTTCGTGGAGGTAAAATGCCGCGAAGTTCAAGGCGTCAAACAACTCCTGCGACCGACTCGATTTGTTTCTTTTGTGTTGATTTTGTTTCTTGTTTGACGAGATTTTGAGTTTGATGAACTAATACGAAAACATGTGTTTCTTTTTTGTCCAACATATACTTATATACTAGTTCATAATTGCGATAAAGTTCTTACTGAGAATGTGTAAGAAAATCAAACCAATAATGAAATGACATGTGTACATATAAAGACTCCCAACTGTCCCAACTCTTCACTCTTTTTTGTCTGCAATGCAAGACCTAAGTAGT